TAGTAAAATATCTGAATGATTATTTTCCTTATACTGTTTATTGATTCTTTTTCATTTTTCAGAGTGTAGAAAATATTCACATCAATAATATTTCCTTCCATTATTTTCCATACTTCCATATTATTATTAATTTTCTTTCCAATATTATTATTAATTGTTTGGGGGTACGGCTTCCTTCCATTCTTTTTCATTTTTTCATATTATTATTAATTGTTTAGCGGGAGCTTGTAAAGGATGATTTGTGTCTATTAATTAATATAGAATATAAATATAGATTAATATAGAATATACATTACCAATTAAAATAAGTTTTTTTTAAAATATTATATTGAACAATAATATTACCAATTATTATTATTATTATTGTTATTATTGGTTCACATAGTTGAATTATTTATTTTTTATTTAATTATTATAAACATAAATGATATTTTACTAATTAATTTATGATATTTATCAAATTGTATTTTTTAAATATAGTGTTTTATCCATGCATTGCACGAAATTTTATTTTTGTTATTATGAATTTAAAATAAAAATAGAAAAAATAAAAAGATGTTAAAATGTACAATATAATAATATAGTTGGACTTTTATATATTTAGTCAAGTATCTATTTCATAACATACAAAATTAAAATTTAAATTTTGTATGGTTAATATATTCTCTAATCATGTACATATTTAGATAAATTTATAGAAAAAATTCATATAATTAAGTTGATTTATTCCAAATTGTATTTCATATCTATATATGAAATTTAAGTTGATTAATGTGCCTGAGCTTTGTACTTAATATGCGTGAGTCTTGTGCTTAATGTGCCTGAGTTTTGTACTTAATGTGCGTGAGTGTGTAATGTTAATGTGCGTGAGTTTTGTACTTAATGTGCCTGAGTATTGTGCTTAATGTGCGAGAGGTTTGTGCTTAATGTGCGTGACTTTTAGCACAATCGCACAGGAAGCTATAAACAAAATACATTCAGACCACAAACTCAAACATATTAAACACAAAAGTCAGACGAAGACGAAGACGTATATGATGAAGAACAGAGAGATGGGAAGAGAGGATTAAGGGAATAGGAAGAGAAGACGAAGACGTATATGAAAAAGAACAGAGAGAGAGGAAGAGAGGATTAAGGGAAAAGAGAGGAAGAGAAGACGAAGACGAAGACATATATGTACAGGAGCAACAGGAGCACATTGACATTACACACTCACGCACATTAAGTACAAATTTCAGGCACATTAATTTAGTAGATCTAATGGTTGAAAATAAACAAAACTTTGTAATATTTATGAAAATGACCTCGCTTATTTAAAAAATTGTAATATTTATGAAAAATGACCCCGTTCATTTTTTACTTGATTTCCCATCATCAAATCTTGCAGATCAATGGTTTGGATTTGTCCACAAGTTTCTCACATGCGAGTGATTCTCATATATATATATATATATATATATATATATATATATATATATATATATATATATATATATATATATATATATATAGTAATACATATACTGATATACTTGTGTGATGTGTGGCTTAACTACATCATATAGTTATATATTTATTAGATATGTATATTTTCGGGAGCAGGGCGAGGCGGGAAAAGTACTCCCCATCCCCATCCCCGTTCCCCTATTTTTGTTTCCGTCTCCGTCTCCGTTGGGTACTATTGACACCCTTAAATTTGAGGAATTAGTTTCATTTCCTTTTCATGATGTTAATGAGGACGAATGTCAAATTCCAGATTCTAAGCTTTGATTCTTATTGATCATGCAATAAGAGTTGTACTATATAATATTTTGGTCAAAAATATTCTTACCATTATAGCTTTCATTATTTTTTCCAATTATTGTTACATGTATATGTATCCACGGTATATTTTCTTATTTTAATATATAGACATTATATATTGGAGTACTATATAAGTTATTTCCTAAAATATAAATAATCAAATTTATAAAAGTGGTTTACATTATTATTATTATTATTATTATTATTATTATTATACAATAATATAAATATCTAAAATCTAAATAAATCTAAAATTTTAATATAAATTTCTAATATTAGGCATCTATTTTTGCGAATCGCGCATAGATAAGTATCTTAGATCAAGAGTCAATTTAAATATCAGGCTTTATACTGTTCTTCTGATATTAAAACTGTAAATTTAAATAAAAATTAAATAAATATAAACATTACAATAATCAATAACTATTAAGGGTAAATTAGATTTTTTAAACAAAAATACAATAATTTAATATCAATAAGTTACTCAAAATAATTTTTTTTTACTTTTAATTTATTGACATCAATAAATTAAGTTAAAAAACTATTTACCAAACACTAATACTAACTATTTGACTAATCAAACAAATTAAAATTGATTGAATAAACTAATCTTACTATACTTCCCAAACAAAAAAAAAAAAAAAAAAACTAATCTTACTATAAGTCATTTTCCAAATACTCGGGAACATGTTATCACTTGTTTCGGCCTCTGGTTTTACCCGCGCTTGCGAGCTTCTTTCTTCGCTGGGTCTTAAGTGTCTCCTCAAACCCTAGTTGTACACTCTCCCTCTTTCTCTCTCTAAATCATCTGTAAAATGGCTGAGGGAGCTCTGGACATGTCTCTGGACGATCTGATTAAGAAGAATAAGAAGGTCGGCGGGGGCAATTCTCGGGGCAGGGGACGCGGATCTGGACCCGGACCAGCTCGCCGGCTTCCGACACGCACATTCAACCGACCTGCACCCTACGGTACCGCCAAGGTGAGCTTTCTAGATCTGCATACCACAAAAATTCTTCGCTACAGTATACACTCTGTGTTCAGTATGTTTATATATATATGTATTCTAACTTCATTATTGAAATTGTAGCTGGTTGAGGCACCAGATTCAGCTTGGAGTCATGACATGTTTTCGGTGGATCAGCAGATGGCGTTTCCCGGCCAAGTAGGCGGTGGCGGTCGACCTTCTTCCATAGAGACTGGCACCAAGCTCTATATATCCAACCTAGAGTATAGCGTCTCTAACGAGGATGTCAAGGTGATTTCCTTTTTTTTTTTTTTTTTTGTTTTTTTGTTTTTTTTTGTTTTTTTTTTTTGTTTTTCTGCTCATTATTTTGAAAACTTTCTAGATGCTCTCGATGTAATTATGTTAATTTAGCACAAGGGTCCAGCCGTTGCCTCCTCTTTGGAGGATTAGTATTGAACGTAGTGAGCTGTATCAAGTTCCGTAGAGTAGCTATTTGCTGTGGCTTTCACAATGCATTCCGTTTTGCTGAGTTCACTTGCCTTTTGCAATTCCACAAATTTTGTGTAGTAATTCAGGTTGAAATCCGTTATGTAGGTGCCAACTCCAAGTTCCTTCCCGTTGGTCTTGTCTTGCTAAGAGGTTGTGTAACAAAGGGGGTAGAGGGGAAGGGGATGACCCAAAAAATCCTACTTCTACCAGTGGTATTGGTAGGTCACCGGGTTATTCAAATAAGTCGTGTTAGTTGTTACAACTTCCGTACCAATTCGGGGCCATAGCACCTCCTTCTCCAGAATCCCCTGAATCAGAGTTTGTTGCTGTTATAAAGAAATAGAGAGGACTAATAAAAGTATAAAACCACATAACTGATACATCGGAATATTATCCTTCTTCCCACTCCTTTGTTCTCCCTACTATTGATCTTACTTTTCTTAGTTTGGTAGAGAGTAAGGGTTAAGGGAATCGATTATGAAGAAAAGGATGCATTGAATCTATGTATGAGTTCAGGGATGGTCGAATAGGTTCTGCTAAATATGATTATATAAAGGTGGCTATAAATGAAGTCCTGTGTAATCAATTTAGTGGATGGCCTTTCTCCATAAAGAAAGAACATCTTTTTTACTGGCATTAGATAGAAAGTGTCATGTACTGAATATGTTTCTACGGGAAATTTGAATGATATGCCTGTCGAGGTTGATAATTGGTATTTACTGCTCAAGATTTTTTTTTTTTTTTTTGGAAATTCAGTGACTACGTTCTTCTCTGATAAGACTGCACCTGACACTATCTTGGGCACAGGCTATGATTTGCTGTTACTCTAATTGATTCAATAGCTGAAGCATCATCATTAATAAATACTCTGTAACTTTAAGCACTTCTCAAGTGTAAAGTAGTAAATCACCTCAGTAGTTATTTCTTTGGATGCACTAAATGCTTGATCATTTGTGTTGTATTCTCCATTCTCCAAGCACTACTGTTGTTTTACATATTGTGATACTTGATGCAGGAACTCTTCTCAGAGGTTGGTGATCTGAAATCCTTTGCAATTCATTATGATAGGAGTGGAAGATCAAAGGTAAAATATTTTTGGAGAATATGGTTTCCTACTTTGCTGGCTGTGCCACTTCTATGTGGTTGCTTAAAAAAGAAATCATTTTCTCTAGGGAACAGCAGAAGTTGTCTTCTCACGTCGACAAGATGCTTTAGCAGCTGTGAAAAGGTATAACAATGTTCAACTCGATGGCAAGGCAATGCATATAGAGATTGTAGGCACAAACATTGCAGCCCCTCCTGCTCCATCTTCCTACAGTGGTGGTGCCTATGGAGATTTCAATGGAATTCCTAGAAGGTCTGCCTGTTCTAGTGCTTTCAACTATTCTATTTAGTTTATTTAAAATTTTTAAGAATATTTTTGGTTAATACTGTTTTGGTGCTTTATATGTTCATATCTCTTCCACTGATTCATGCAATTGCATTCGACGAAAAAATTATCCATGGGTAATATTTTTAACAGTGTATCACTTTTTAATGTTGAATTCAGATATTACCAACTACCTCCTGGTCCTTCACCTGCACCATTCTTATTAATATATTGCCTAGAGAGCTCTAAGATGTCTTAACTCATTTTAAAGTTATGTACTAGTGTTTTGGCAATTGATTTCAAGAGGGTAAAAAAGCTTCTTTTTTGTGTCCCTATGATAGTTGCATTTTGACTAAACAAGAGTTCACTTGTCATTGTGAGAGGGCAATGTGCAATGAGAGTTGCTAGATTAGAGTTGAAAGCAGATGTAGGTGCCGTCTTTTCCCCTGCAATGTTATGGTTAGGTAGCAGGTTTGGAGATACATTTAGGGTGCTTTCTAGATAAGAAATGTTACCCTAGACACACTTTTTCACCAAAGAAATGGTGGAAGCCAACATGTTTTTTGCAAGGAAATTGAAAAAAAAGTAACTGTTGTTGCAGGTGTTTTAAGATCTTGTGTTTTACTTGTGCATGTTATACACATCAACACAAATAGGTTTATGGATGGTAGGGTGCACATCTGAGGATTTTAGAAATGGTTGAATAGAGCATTTAAACCAGCTTTAGTGGCACCTGTCTGAGACACGGTACATAAACTGATTCCAACATGCCAACAATTTTATCAGAGAATTTAGAACTTGTTGAAACTAGACATGCTTGTATGGTACGTTTTTATGTTGTTAGCAGCACCTTTACTGTCTTTTTATTCCTGTTGGCTTTGCTTGATCTGAATCTAGTTGCAAATATTCACCATGACAACTATAATTTGATTAAATAAATGCCTGCTCTCACTTTGCTACATTGGATTTAAACAGTGGGCAAGGGCGAGGTGGAGGTGGAGGTGGAGTATTCGGAAGGCCACGTGGTGGCAATAGGGGAAGAGGCCGTGGTTTCCGAGGAGGAGGAAGAGGAGGTGGAGGAGGTCGAGGACAAGGTAGAGGGCGTGGAGAGAAAGTAGTATCTGCAGAAGATCTTGATGCTGACTTGGAGAAGTACCACTCGGAAGCAATGCAAGAAAATTAATGAATTCCTCCTCTATCATTGTTTTGTTTTGTCTACACTTGCTGTAACTATTCTGCGAATTTATGCTTTGCTTGATGATTACACAGACAACTCTCTTGTATGTTTAGCCTCCTAGAATTACATGGAAGTAATGAGTTTGTAACACATTTCTTACTAACTCCGTTTAAATTTGTGTAATTTATTGTTAGTTTGCTGCTACTGACCTCCTTGGTTCTTGATAGTACTGTCGTTTTTCTTGTTAACTAGCTTCATTTACAAGAAAGAAATGATTTAATTCTCTTACATATTTTTTGTTTGTTTCATTCACAAAGTTCGTTCAAGCAACAAAGAAACAATCATGGAAATAACACATCACTAGCGTTGTTTATGATGATTACAGACTGGAAATCTCAGTTAACAGTGCAGCTACCTACTATACTACAATACAAAAGCTGTTCCTACAACTAACCATTTTTCCCAGCTTACAACAAAACAAACACCCTCACAGACAATCAATCATTCTGGATTTACCCTTCTTTTTGTTAATTTTTCCCAACCAGAGAAAATCAATCTCAGTATTGAATATAATACCGCTATTATGCATGACTTTATGAAGTTCCAACACGAAGCAGGCCAGTACCACGGGTATAGCAAGCGAAAGAAGAGGCTTATAAGGTGCCGAGGATATCTCCCAACCTGGAACCAAAGTTTCAAATGTGGCAGTTTACTGACCAGTGGCAATCGAGAATTGCATTTATGAAACAATGACAGGATTAGAGAGTATGGGAATAGTCTCAAGATTCTGGAGAACTTGGAACCTACTACTTTATAAGCATGCTATCTAGAGCCGGGAGGAATCAAAGAATATACTCACAGGAAAAAGTAGATTGAGTGCATTCCATGCAGCATGACGAACAGCTCGTGTTGGATACATGGGAGCTCCAGGGCTCGTGAAGCTGTACAGGCAAGTTTTAAGCCTTGTACTTGTCGCCATTCTCAATTCTAATCCTGTTGACATTTAATTTTTAAATAACTAGTAGCAGGTATATGAATCAAGGATTTTGTGCTAGTGCTCTAATGCGCATACCACTGAGAACTTTTGTCTGAGAGAGGTAATACAATAGCACTGGCTCGACCTTTAATTTCTGAAGCTGGTATCAGTGATGCCAAACAAGCAAGACAAAAGACGTTAAGGATGTAAATTGGCTTAAAGCTAATAGACAGAAGTATTGTGTTGTGTATTTTACCTGATCAGCTAATTCCGTAACAAAAATATCAGCTGGACCACCAATCAAGAAAGAATTCGGATAATCAGGAAATTGCTTCAAGAAGCTTTCTAGCTTTTCAACTGTAAAAGCAAGCAACCAATGAGCAAACCAGTTTCAACATCTAATGCAGGATTGTCATGAGCCTTGCTTACCTGAGTCATAGAAAAATAGGAACCTTGAAAGGAGGAGAAACAAACTCTGCTGCACCTGAAGAAGTTTCAAGAAGAAGCAAGATAGTACTTAGTAGAATGCTCCATAGGCATGCCTATTAAATCTAACTGAAGTTAGGTAGACGAAACAAGAACTTGCTTTAAATGTTAGACCTGCAAGGGTATCTTCTTTAACCGATCAGGATCAAGAGAAACTTCCTCGAGAAGATACTGCAGCCAGTTGAAAGAACACAGATGTTAAAGCATCTCTTTATGATATATGGAGTAACAGTTTTGGACATCCATTGTATCTCACCCGAAAGAGACTCTGAAAGCGCCTTGTGTTGGTTTGGATATCAATCCTGGAAATATGTATTATAAAAATAAGGACATTTCTATTTGTTTCTATCTTCCCCATGACAAACAAAGCACTTAAAAGTCCTCATGGTTATACTGACAAGTAACTATAGATTATAGAGAGAGAGAGAGATATTTACATTGCCAATAAACTATAACCATACGGAAGAATGAATTCATACCAGAATACATTAGTAGCACCTTGAACAAGAGCTGAAGAGTACCGGAGAAGGACTTCAGAATTGTCAAGTTCAACCTCGAACAACTGAAAATAGAACATGTCTATTTTATTCAAGGATGATAAAAGAAATGGATACAAAAACTGTTTCATATAAATTCAACTACATGTCTACACAGGAATACATTAAGGTTTATGAGAGAACAGAAAATTCTAATACGCCAAGTTTGAAGTTGTATGTAAGCTCGCTTACCCACTTGTGAAACAAAAGAGTAAAGATATTAGAACAAAAGGACTGGCTCCATAGTTGAACAATCAAATCAAGGATTGCTTTCCCATTGTGGGGTACTAGGATGAAATGGTCAGCAAGTACATCATAAAAACATATTGGGCCTTCTATCCTTTCCTCTGCGGCAGATATTACATCTTCACTGCCAAAAATTATTTCTGTGCAAGTTCATGAGACATAGTAAGAACCTCAATAGAGTATAAATTCATTATGCAAAGTACATACACACAAAGCACCCGCCAATAAAATTTGTCAGCAATGTGAATTTTTCTTCAATCCAAATATCCAATATCATCTGATCCTCATAGATATGGATAGATAGTAAAACAATAAAAGCAAATCTAGAAAAGAATATTGATCTCAGATTTTAAGAAGCAAAGCACTCATATTTACCAACATCCTAGTAATGCAACAAATGGGGAAACCCAACAAAGCACAAATCTAACAACTTTAGATTAGTAGCCATCATAAAATTTGTTTGAGTAAAGATACTAATAGCAAACTCTGATTCCCGGTATCCATCGTCAAGAAATTACTTGGTCATCCTTCGCAAGCACAACATCCTACATGCTACTAGTTGGCTACTTGCCTCACAACCCTGATATCATGAATCCATTAAATGCCATATTTAAGTGTGTGCTAGTGGTGGTCACAGAGGGTGAAACATCTTAGGCATAGAATGTAGATGATACCATCAGTAAATGAAAGAAATAAAGGATGCAAGAAATAGAAGGAAATTCATCACTATGAAATACATGTGAAGTTTAAACATTAAATTTTCCATGTATGGAGTATCTCCAAATTGCTTCACAGGACTTCTCCAATTTTCTGAACCTTTTATACCTCATTCTCACACTTGCTTTTTATCTTCATGCCCAACAAGTATGAGAAGCAAACTTTTTCATTGATTTGGATTCATATACATTTGTGCAATACTACAGTATGAAGACCAATCAGTAGTGAGTGTCTCCAAATCATTTTTCTCAATAAATTACATATAGCAGCATACTAGCTGTACAACCTTGAAGGTCTTCAAAAGCAACAGGGAAAGCTAGAAAAGATCTAGAGGATACCATGGGAGTAAAACAAAGGAAGAAAAGGAAGGTCATATGCTACATTGGTGAAATCATTTCCCACAATTTACATTGTTACTTGTCAGTATTCCTAACATAAATATAAATGCCCTTGTACACACACACACACACACACATAATTCCCCTTTTGTTTTCAAAACAGAATCCCATAAGGTCATATTTGAAAGCTGTCTACTAAGCCAAATACGAGCATCTCTTCCACATAAATGCCTTGTGATTCAACTGAACTATTTGAACATTATTTTGCATGAAAAAATAATTTCAACGCTGCGCCATCAAATAAAAGTGAATCTGATTCATACAGAACAAAACATAAATGAAGAAAAGAAAAAAAGGCAGGTCACCTTTTGCTCGATCATCAACTTCCAAAGCTATGTCCGCGAATAGCTGCTGCAACAAATCGCGCCTCTGAGACGGCGAGGTCAATGCCTGAAACGAAATTCACACGTTTCATCAACTGATCAGCAGATTCAGGAGGCAGAGAGCGCAACTTCTCCAATCGTTGCTATAGAAATCAATAAATATAACACGGGAATCATAAGGCAAAAGCAGAAGCACCAAATGCGGAATCGGAAATACGAAGGATCAATCGATGCACAAGTACGTACGCGTTGAAGCTTCTTCTCGATCTCCTGGGTGAGAGCAGTGAGGTAAGCTGAGTTTCGAGGCGTTGAAACCGGAGGCATGTTTGATCAAGCTTGGATTCTCCGAGACATTTGAGCATCAGAAAAGGCGCAACGATCCCTGCAACTCTCCCATCCAAACATGCCTTTGCCAATATATGTATCTTCAATTCAATTCACTGCGAAAAGGATTTTGCAGTAACGATAAACATTTACCGACAGGTATATGCATATATTTTTACAGGAATTTTTTTTTATAAAAAAATATTTATTGAAATTTAAAGCAATGATTAGGGAAGTGGCGTGGTAGAGAAGCAATTTCGGGAGAAAAAGGGGAATGCCGAAATGGAGATGTGGCCGGCGGAGAGGCTTCCCACGTGGGTTACCTGATTACTTCTTTCCGTTTGGATAAAAATGGCTGATTTTGTAAGACCACCGGCCACGGGCCACCGGATCTTTTCACTTCCTCCCTGCCCCATGCGGTTAATACCAAAAAGAGTTAATGTGATTTGTGGTCCTCTAACTATAGTGAATTTGTTACATTTTTTAAATTTTAAAATTGATTACTTGTGGTCTTTTGAACTTTCAAATTATTATCATCAGTAGTCTAAATTTATTATCTATGATCCTTCAACTGTCAAAATATAACCAGTCATGGTCCTTCAGGAAAGACCATGGTGGTTAAAATTTAATAGTTTAAGGACCATGGTCGGTTAACTTGGACCACAAAAGGTAACAATTTGAAAGTTGAAAGATCACAGTTAGTTAATTTAAAAAGAGTTCTTTTCAAAATGGTTCCTCGACTATTGCTCATTCTTAATATTGCATTTCGACTTTCAATTGCACTAAATGTGGTCACTCGACTTTCAAAAACTCTCCCAATTTAGTCATTCGTTAGATTTTCGTCTACTCAATAATAAAATAGAAGACATTTTTGTCCGTTTAAGTATTATACGCTTAATATACATTGAAAAATAGTCGAGGGACCATTTTGAAAAAAGTTGTTTTATTTATTTCATTTTTAGATTCTATCAAATTAGAATTTCTATATATTATTTTTCTTACAAATATAATAGATAAAATCATAGAGTCCAATCTCAAAATTTTCATCTATCCCTAAAGTTTTACAATAAGTTTCGTAACTTTCATAAATTTCATATACTTTTTATTTTTGTCTTTTTATGTTCATATATATATATATATATATATATATATATATATATATATATATATATATATATATATATATATATATATACATGATCCAA